GTTTCCAGCTGCATCCATGTCCCTACAAAGGACATGAACTCATCCTTTTTTATGGCTGTATACACACTGAAATATTTAAGGATATGGGACACACGGTCTGCCATTCACTCTAAAATGGTTTGAGAAGAAAACATAACTGTGTTCATATACACACATACAGAGAGTAAGCAAATCACAAAGCAATGAGAGAAAATAGAAACAACTGGTGGGCCTATGTGTAGGGTATATGGAAGGTCTTTGTCCTTTTCTACTACTTTCCTACAATTTTGAATTGTGTCAACATAAAATGTTACCAGAATAACTAGAGAGTCAAGGAAAGTTGCAATTCATCCTTCTCAGGAATCTGTACCAGACAATCAAGATTAGTACTAAAAAAAAATAACAAGAACACAGAGATGAGAGAAGTGGAAACAAAGACAAAGAAAACAGGCATCTAGAATGAGCCTGGACTTGGGCTTTGGGCTGCTCTGCAGAGATCTATCCTGGAGTTTGAGGTTTGATCACTGCACCTGAAAATGCCCCTTAAGCAAAGAGGCTCAGGCCGGGCGCGGTGGCTCACACTTATAATCCCAGCACTTTGGGAGGCCGAGGCAGGTAGATCACTTGAGGCCAGGAGTTCGAGACCAGCATGGCCAACACGGTGAAACCCTGTCTCTATTAAAAACACAAAAAAATTAGCCAGGTGTGGTAGTGGGCACCTGTAATCCCAGCTGCTCGGGAGGCTGAGGCAGGAGAATCACTTGAACCTGGGAGGCGGAGGTTGCAGTGAGCTGAGATTGCACCCCTACACTCCAGCCTGGGGCACAGAGTAAGACTCTATCTCAAAAAAAAGGGGGGTGGGGAGCTCAATATTTGACTAGGATGGCTCTACCAGCCTGTTGAATGTACTTAACAGAGGCACCAACAACTGTTCACTCTACCTTATCTCCACTTAGGCGGCCACAAGCCTCATTGATCCAGTGCCACAAATTAGCTAGAAAACACAAAGCAAGGATAAGGACTTCAAGTTATTATTTCCCACTTTTCTTTTAAATAAAGGTTATTATGTATATTTAAGGTATACAACATGTTACAGGACAAATATAGATAGTAAAATGGTTACTATAGTGAAGCAAATTAACATACCCATCATCTCACTTAGCTACCCATTTTTATGTGTGTGTGGCAAGATCCGCTAAAATCTACAAATTTAGCAAAAATCTTGAATATGATACAACATGATTAACTACAGTCCCCATCCGTACATTAGATTCCTGGACAACTTTCTTCATCCTGCATATCTGCTACTTTGTTTCCTTTGACCCACATCTCCCCATTTTCTTTCCCCCTGCCCCTGGTAACCATTGTTTTATTCTATATCTCTGTATATTTGACTTTTGGGGAATACTGCACATGTAAGTGCAATTGTTCTAGATTTTTCTTTCTGTATCAGGCTCAGTATTATGACCACTAGGTCAGTTCAATATTATCTTTCAACAGAGTCCACTGCAAGTCTTTCAGTGAACGCTCCTGGAAGTGAAAGCATTTAAAAGTAAATCAACTGATTTAAAGGCTATGAAGGGCCAGGCGCAGTGGCTCACACCTGTAATGCCAGCACTTTGGGAGGCCAAGGCGGGTGGATCACCTGAGGTCAGGAGTTCATGACTAGCCTGGCCAACATGGTGAAACCACATCTCTACTAAAAATACAAAAATTAGCCGGGCATGGTGGCACTCGCCTGTAATCCCAGCTACTCAGGAGGCTGAAGCAGGAGAATCGCTTGAACCTGGGAGGCGGAGGCTGCAGCGAGCTGAGATTGTGCCACTGCACTCCAACCTTGGCGACAGAGCGAAACTCGGTCTCAAAAAAAACAAAAAATAAAAAAATAAAGGCTATGAAGCCATCTTACTCCTGTCAAAAACAGAACTTCCTGTTCTATGCAAAGCAGAACATGATCCACTAATGTTTCAGTGACTACCTCTGGGCACATTTGGGGGCTGTCAGAGCTGCTGCTATGACTATAGACATTCTCATTCCCTTAACAAGTTTTCTTTGGCTATGAGGGACTAAGTTAGACATCATAGAAGAACCAAAGAAAACATGTCTAGGAGACTGATTTTTCCAGTAAACTAGCTTGAATGTACTATAAAAGTGAGGCAAGCACAGCAAGCTAGGTGCCAGACCCACTGAGACCAGCAGGCCCCAAGACCTTTTCCACGATATCTAGCTGCTTCTCAGAAGAAAGAAGAATATGTTCAAAAACTACATCTCCACTCACTCTTACAGAAGTGATGAAACCTAAAAGGTTAAATTTTATGAATTTTAAGAAATCTATGAATTTATATTATGCAAAGATACAATTTTATCCTACTTCTAATGAACATTTAATGTTGGGCTCACTATAAAGACTAAAGTTAGGACTGGACCCGGTGGCTCACACCTGTAATCCCAGCACTTTGGGAGGCTGAGGTGGGCGGACTGCTTCAGCTCAGAAGTTTGAGACCAGCTGGGGCAACATGGTGAAACCCAATCTCTATAAAAAATACAAAAATTAGCTGGGCATGGTGGTGCGTGCCTGTGGTCCCAGCTAATTGGGGGGCTGAGGTGGGAGGATTGTTTGAGCCCAGGAGGGAGCTGGAGGCTGCAGAGAGCTGCACTCGTGCCACTGCAGTCCTGCCTGGGTGACAAAGTGAGACCCTGTCTCAAAAAGCAACAACAACAACAACAACAACAACAAAAAACTGACTAAAGTTAGGAGTTGTCAAATTCTCCATGGGAAGATCATCACAGTTCAGTATAATAGCTAATGAGCACTTAAGCATGCCAGGGATGGTGCCAAGCAGTCTCATCATAAAATAGGGGAAATAATAGTGCCCACCTCATGGTGCTGTTGTGAAGATGTACTTAGTACATGCAAAATATATGTAGTCATGTTGGCACATATTAAATATTTAATATATGTCAGCTATTGCTATCATCATCATTATTCTTGCTTCTTTTCTATCACTTCGAAATTATATATCAAGGTAAACTTACTTGCCCTCCCCCGACACCCCGCCAAAAAAAAAAAAGAGAGGACAATTGCAGCTGTTTCCTTGGAGAAATCAGTCTAGACAATCACAAATGGCACTAAAAATAAATACCTGTCCATGGAGCTGGTAAACATGCAGACCTGCCATGATCACCTCTGCCCTGGACAACTGCAAACAGCTTCCTAACTGGTGCGCCTGCATCTACGCACACTGTACCACACATTTGTCTGGTACTCTAAAGCCAGAGGGCCACCCTCGGTCCCTTTTGCTAAGGACAAGGAGCAAACTCCTTCAGCAGCCCTGCAGGGCTACATGGTCTGGCCGTGCCCTCCTCTCCAGCCTCATCTTCCACTTGGTCCCTGACTTTGTGCTACAGTGCCACTAGCTCCCTCCAGCCCGCTAATGCACCATGCTCCCCTCATCATGCAGCTCTCAGGATAGAATGCCTGTGTTTCTCCTGATGTCCCTTGGCTAGCGAATTCTGACTTGTCTTTCAGATCTTAACTCACACATTTCCTCCTCTGGGAGGCCCTGGCTGGCCTCAGGGATGGGCTGACCTTCTGTCGTCTGCTACCTGGTGCTCAGCACCTTCCCTTGCACACTCAGCTTCCCTCCGTGGGCTTAACGCCTACCCTGCCCACTAAGATGCTTCCTCCAGGACGGCACTGGCTGTGTCTATGTTGCTTGATATTGAGACCCCAGTGCCAGTCCAGTCCCTGATGATCAGTAAACACGTAAGGATGAATGGATGAAGAGAGAGCTAACAGTCATGACATCTAATCCAGTAAACAGTAGGCCCACATGGCAATAAAATAGTATCAAAAAGAAAAACCTAAAGAACCAAACATCAGGAAGTCTGTTTATCTCACATAAACATGACTACAAGTGACCTTCATCATCTGAACATGCGTTATCCAAATCCCCAGTAATGATGTTGTTAAGGAGGTGAAGTTGCACTAAATAAAAGCATTCAACAATGAACAGACTCTTTAAAAAATGGTCACCACTCGCCTGGGTGTGGTGGTTCATGCCTATAATCCCAGCACTTTGGGAGGC